GTCGGGGGGCTCCCCGCGCCTGGCCGGCCGCTGCAGTCATGGGCCTGGTTTCTTTGTGCTTCATCTAGGGAAGCCAAAGCCATGGAGGCCCCGCCCGTTACCATGATGCCCGTCACTGGCGGCACCATTAACATGATGGAGTATTTACTCCAAGGTAAGACGGCGGGAAGGTGCGTTTGATTTCGGGTTCCACAGGCCGCGAGGTTCGTCTGAACACGCCCAGCTTGCCTGCGCCCCAGGCGCTGCAGTTGGGGAAGAGGCGGCCATACCGCGAGAAGGTCCTTTTCTGGAAGAGGTTGACGTTTAGGGCTTAACGCTCCAGCAGCAGGGATCTGGCTCTGACCGTGCACTAACTCCTGGACTCCAAGAGGAACTCATAGGGACCGTCTCCCCCTCCCCTTTCCAAACTCCTTTTTGGTGCAGGATAGTCCCTTAGTGCAGACTTGTTCTGGGCTTTGCTCTTGCCCTTGTAGTTTTTGGTTCTGTGGCAAATACCTCTGAACGATTTGGTGATAAACTTCTTTGTAGTTATTAACTTTCTTGTCGTCTGTGTGCTGCTGTTGTAGTTACAGTGCAGCATGCAGACATTCAAAACCAGCAGCAGTGCACCTTCAGGTCCTTGATGTGTAGGGAGTGTGTTCAAGCAGTTAGAACTAAGTTATTTTCCTGACTGTTGTTTACTGTCTGATCTTGGGCAAAGTCATTCAGGTGTTGTACACCTCTGATTCCTTTTCTAGAAAATATAAAATAAGGGAATAATCCTCCTTTTGTAAAATGCTTTGAGATTCCCAGAGAAAGAGCACTGTGTATATTTCCTGCAGCTTTTGCAGCCTCTGCTTTTTGAAAAATGAGCATTGTTTGCTTTTTTGCTCCTATTTTTTAATATGGTGAGAGAGTTTGGGATATCCCATGCACTGCTGGAAGTAACCATGCAATCTTTGTGACAATAGTAAGCTTTTCAGTGGTGAAATAATTATCTTGTTTTAAATCAGGAAGTGTTTTGGATCAAAGCCTAGAGAGCCTCCTTCACCGGTTGCGTGGTTTGTGTGACAACATGGAACCTGAGACGTTTCTGGATCATGAGATGGTGTTCCTCCTGAAAGGGCAGCAGGCTAGTCCCTTTGTCCTGAGGGCACGGCGCTCCATGGACAAAACTGGAACACCCTGGCACTTGCGCTATTTGGGACAGCCAGAAATGGGAGACAAAAACCGCCATGCTCTGGTGCGCAACTGTGTTGACATTGCCACATCAGAGAACCTTACTGACTTTCTGGTGGAGATGGGCTTCCGCATGGACCATGAGTTTGTTGCCAAGGGCCATGTGTTCCGCAAGGGTATCATGAAGATTGTAGTGTACAAGATCTTTCGCATCCTGATTCCAGGAAACACTGATAGCATTGAGCCCTTGTCTCTCTCCTACCTTGTGGAGCTGAGTGTTGTAGCTCCAGCAGGACAAGACATAGTGTCTGATGACATGCGAAACTTTGCTGAGCAGCTAAAGCCTTTAGTTCATCTGGAGAAAATTGACCCCAAAAGGCTCATGTAAAGGACTCAGCAAATAATCTAGTTCTAACAGCCTCTTCATGCAAAGACTGGACAAGAGTTTATATACCAGTTTCATTCTCCAAATAATGGAGGAGAGATGTCTTAATATTATTTCATGAGACAGGAAATACAACTATCAGAATCAGTAATACAGTGGAGCTGACTGCACGCTGTTGCCAAAAGAGGAATGTATTTTTTTCCCACTTTTTTTTTTTTTAACTTAGCAATCTTAGGTGTTAGTTTATCTGCTAGTGTTACAAATAAGATGAAAATTAGTTTTTCAGGCAAAAGGTGTTACCCCTTCAACAAATATAGATTTTTTTTAAAAGCTAGTTTCCTTAGTTAGGACTTGGTTTTCAAAACTGAACTCTCAAAACATAACTTACTTTTAAGACTATTTATTTTAGGTACTTCAGTAAACTGGGCCTATGAAAATAATCTGATCAGTTTCTCTGATTTCTAGTCAATTCCTTTTTCTGCTTCTTACCTATTTGTAAATGTCTGCAGAAGAAGCTTGTAGATATTTAAAAGTGGTATTTTAAAAAATTCTGTACATCTAAGGTTTTGCAAAAAGTCAGTTTTAGGAAAACCAAATTTCTGGGCACCAAATTTACATTACTTCATATTTCTGTTTTGTTTTTGGTTGAATACTTTGATGCCTGAGTTAAATCATAGTGAAATAACACCTGAATTTTGTGTATTACTATTAGCAATTTTTTCCTTCAGTTTTCTGCTGTGGTAAAATTGGGGGTCAATAAAAAAAAATTTGACCAGCAGGTGCACAGAACTCCTGACTGTTTTGATCATTTTGTTGTTAACCATTCTGAGATGTTTGTTTAAACAAGTCCTTATTCTGTGCCTCTGAGTTCTGTAGTCAAATAATAAGTATTTGTTACTGTAATTCCAGAAAAAGTCTTTCAGCTGACTTCTTTCAGGGCTAATATTTATGATAACGTACAGTAACTTTACAATTGTACTTTATTGAAAAAATTATCATTAATGCCAGTAAAGATACACTAGGTTAACTGTGAATGTTTCCTAACATGCACAGAGCAATCTTTTCACTTCCACCCTTGCTGTAGAACTCTGTTTTAGTGGAATGGCATACAGCAGTACAACAGTACAGTTAAGGATAGGTTCTGATGAAGAATATCACATTTAGATGAAACTGCACAAAGGACTTCTAGGTGGACAGTAGAATTATCCATGATGGAATTTGGCCAGAATAAATTATTCTTGGTGACTACCAAGTGCTTTGAGGTAAGCAGAACATCACATCCCAGCTGGCACACTGATACAGCATTTGCACAAAAACTGGTGTGGGCATGTGAGTGACCAATGAAGATGTCAGTTGCAGCTAAGGTAACTGAATAGGGAGTGCTACCAACAATTCTCAGTCTATTGAAGCTATATTTCATAGTACAGGTGCAGGCATCTATGTATCTAGAGTCCTAGCACATCTTGTATCAAATTTAATTTTAGATTTGCATCAAGGCTTATGCCTAACCTTACTATAATCTATTAAAATTTAAATAAATAATCAAGTAGTACATGTTAGCTCTCAGTTTTGAAGTCAGACCAATGAACTGGTGGAAGTCACTGCCTTCAGCATTTGAAATAAAGTGCTAAACTACCCTTTGAGAATAGTGATTTTTTTTTTTATGTAGGTACAGAGGGGACATTTTTTCTGTTCAGTTCAATGACTCAAAGTTGAGACACCAATTAGGACTTGAAAAAACCCAGAATTTGTTTTCCTCTTCCAGTTTATTAATAAAAAGGTGTAAAAGGACGAGTTCTACCTTCTTGAAGAATATAGGCATCTAAATACTTTTGACAATCTGGCCCATACTAACCAAAACCAACCAATTCACTTCTTAGAGCTAATCCTTCAAGTTAAACTAGTAGGCTACGTCTACACTGGCATGGATGCTTTTGCGCAAAAGCACATCTCTTGCGCAAATACTTTAACGTAAAAACTCTTGCGTTAAAAGTATTTGCGCAAAATCATGCCAGTGTAGACGCTCTCTTGCGCAAGAAAGTTCCGATGGCCATTTTAGCCATCGGGCTTTCTTGTGCAAGAAATTAACTTTGCCTGTCTACACTGGCCTCTTGCACAAGAACAGTTGCGCAAGAGAGCTTATCCCTGAGCGTGAGTGTCAGAGTATTTACACAAGAAGCACTGATTTCCTACATTAGAACGTCAGTGTTCTTGCACAAGTACTCGTGGCCAGTATAGGCAGGTGGCAAGATTTTGCGCAAAATCTTGCCAAGGTAGACACAGCCGTACAGTGGTCACCAACCAGTAGACTGGGATCTACTGGTAGATCTTGGAGCCTCTGACATGATCCTGACGGGTTTGGTCAAGAGGCTATCAAGTGCAGGCATTTCAACTGCCCATCCTGCTACTGCTGCACATCTCTTGCCCTTTGCCTTGGAGCTGCCTCCACCCACCAAGGGAGCCTCCTGCTTAATGGGCAGGGCAGAGGAAGGAGAAGAGGAGCACTAATGTCAGCATGCCCTCACTCCCACCCTGTATGCTAGCTCCACAGAGCAGAGAGGGGAAACAATAGGGTTTGGGATGAAGGGAGTTTGCTGGCTGCTTTTGGGAGAGGTGCAGGGCCAGAGCAGGGGTGAGCCTGCCTTAGCCTCACTTCACCACCACCTAGGAGCCACCTGAAGTAAGCAGTGCCCATTTGGAGCCCACATCCTGAAACCCTAACCCAGTCATGGATCCTCCCCCACACCCAGCCATTCCAAGCACCTGCCCTAGCCCCAGGCACTCCTGCATCAAAACACGCTCCCAGAGCCTGCACCTAGAACTCCCTCTGGCACCCCAACTGCCTTCCCCAAGCTCAGCTTAGAGTTCCTCTTGCACTTCAAATCCCTTAACTCAAGACCAGAACCTGCATCCCAATCTGGTGAAAGTGAGGGACGATGGAGTGAGCAGGGGTGAAGCCTTGGGAAAGGGGCACAAAGGAGGCAGCATAAGGATATTTGGGTTTGAGGTAAATCTTGGGTTGCACATAAATTCAAAAAGTGATCTCATGCTTAAAAAGGTTGGAGACCACTAATCTAATATATATTTGAAAGTTTGTCCATCTGTTTTTGTTCAAGAACTCCTCTTAAATAGTAAGAGCTAGGACCACGAAATTTGGTATGCAGCTTCCTCATACTTTAAAGCAAAGTAAAGGTTTAGTTGTAGTAAGACAATGGGATATGCCTGCAATGCAATTGTTTGTCATAAAACTGAAAGGGAGAGGTTTACTAGCAGGGACAGTTATACTGTGTAATGACCATTGGGGGCAGCAAGGGATGAGAAATGGGGACTGGGTAGTTATAACCTCATTGCGGTAACAGGTGGAGAAAGGGACAGCTTTTGACAGAATAGTAACAGAGAGGTAGCTGTGTTTGTTTTACCAAGATCAGACTAACAAAAAAGTCTCATAGCACTTTAAAGACTAACAAGATGGTTTATTAGGTGATGAGCTTTCGTGGGGCAGACCCACTTCCTCAGATCATATTCTGAAAGTGAATTGGCATGACCATTATATTACAGAGGGATACAATGAAAAAAGTACAAACTGACATCAGCTACGTAGAACAGAAGGGGGTAGGGGGGAGTGACAAGCAAGGAGGAAATTGCTTACTGTAAGTCAATTTATCTGGGGTCACTATGAATATAAAAAGGCAAGGAGGCTGTCTTTGTAATCTGTAAGATAATTATCTCAATTAAGGACCATTCACAATGAGTCAAATTTTAGCATAAATACAATTGTGAGGTTTCCCTCTGTGATCTGGTGTTAAAGTCTTTTTGTTGTAAGATGCATGTTGTAAGGCCTTTAAGGGAATGGCCAGTTTGACTGAAATGCTGGCTGACGGATTTGTGTGTGTGGAGATTTCTGATCTGTGAGCATTAATTCTTTGGTGACGTGCAATATACATGGCAGAGGGACATTGCTGGTACATGATGGCATATCACGTTGCTGGACATACAGGAATATGAGCCCTTGATTGTATACTGGAACATGCTGCTATGCTCCGAGAGGCTCTGGGTGACAGACCTGTACTCTTCTATAGAAAACCACCTAACCTCAGAAAGATTCTCACTAACAACCATAGAACATATCACATTAACACTAACACTGGAACTTTCCCTTGTAACAAACATCGTTGCCAGCTTTGTCCACATATTTACTCTGGAGATACCATCACTGGACCTAACCATGTCAGTTGTAGACAATCACCAGGCAGGTGAAAAAGGCTGTTTTGGGCAGGTGGGGAGTACCCCCTCTTCCAGGACTACTTGAGTCCCCCACCCCCTAGGTTCCCTTTAATGAGGGAGGAGGGCTCAAGCTCTCCCATCCATCTTGCACAGGAACATTGCTAGCTGTTCTGTTGTCAGGGAGCGAAGGGAAACTGCAGAGTTTGCTGCATTCTTCACACTGGCTGAAGAGCACAGGGGGCAGATGAACCTGTATCTGGCCCAGCTAGAGAAATGCATCCCTTCCCCCATCTGTGCCTGCTGGAGCTGCAGCAGCCACAGAGAGCCATGTTTCACTTCTGGCCCCAAGCTGCTGTGGTGAGAGAAGGCTGGGGTTTTCCTCTCTCCCCAAGGCAGACTGCATACTGACCCCCTCATTCTCAGCCCAGAACAGTGATTTAAATGAACCATGTATTTTTTCAGTTTATTTTCCAAAAAAGGAAATTAAGAACCTAAGCAATGGTGGGTACATTTTCTATATATTTTAAATATGTGCATCTGCTCACAAACTCCTACATAGTATGAGCTAGGACCACCAACTTTGGTATGCAGCTTCCTCTTACCCCAACTTAAACCAAGATTGGGTTGGTTGTGCCACGAAAATGGGAAGTCCCAGGACTGGGACTGTTTCCATAATATGCAGCACAGAGGATGGACAGACATGATACTGAGAGCAGCCACTGAGGGCTATATTGTAGAGGGACCACTGGTGGTTGCCTCCTACCTTCCAGGCACCACCAAGAGAGAGGCCAGTAGGGTTGGGGCTCTGTCATCTTGCCTGCCACCAAAGTGGGTAAGTGGCCTCCTGCTGTAAACCCTCACTTCCCAGTCCCTGGCTGCAGAACTGGATGGAGTGGGGGGAAGAGGAAGGAGTGCCCTTAAGCACCTGGGCAACACTAGATAAAGTTGTCTGGTTTTAAATAAAGAAAAATTGCTTCATAACATGTTATGTATCTAGCATAAGGTTGTTTTATTTCAGAAAGCTGTTTTAAACATTTGTTCATTTGATTCAAACACCCATCCAAATGCCCCTTGACACAAATGAGTTAAAAAAAATCAGTAAATTATCATTTCTCCCTTAAGCACCTGGGCAACACTAGATAAAGTTGTCTGGTTTTAAATAAAGAAAAATTGCTTCATAACATGTTATGTATCTAGCATAAGGTTGTTTTATTTCAGAAAGCTGTTTTAAACATTTGTTCATTTGATTCAAACACCCATCCAAATGCCCCTTGACACAAATGAGTTAAAAAAAATCAGTAAATTATCATTTCTCATTTTCTGACAAGAAAACTGAGAACCTGAATAAATGGACATTAGGGTATGTTATTGGTTAAACAGATGTGTTAATTAGAAGTACTGAATTTAACAAAGGCTATCGCTGGTAGTTGCAAATCACTGTATTTTAATGGTTATGCCGCTCAATTTCTCTTTAGGAAAATAAGTAAAAATGAAAGTTTCTTTTTTGATTGATATCAATTGACCCTGTCTTAAGATTATTTTCCTAGGAACAGAATGTAGTTTTTCTCATGGGCCCAAAATGGACTGAGTGTCCTTTATTATCTCACTCAAGAAATAAACCTATTCCTATTGTATTCAAGCATGTTATTATTTTTCAGGGTATATGGTACCCTTTTAAGATATGCTTTTTGTCTTCTATATTTACACCTTCTGTATACATCAGAAAACACTCTCTGGCTGTGTCTACATTGGTGCAATCTTGCACAAAAGCAGCTGCCTTTGTGCCAAAACTTGCTGCCTGTCTACACTGGCTGCGAGTTCTTGTGCAAGAACACTGATGTTCTAATGTATGAAATCAGTGCTTCTTGCGCAAGAACTATGATGCTCCGGCTCAGGAATAAGTGCACTGGCTCAGGAATAGAGGCAACATGTATAGACAGGCAACATGAATTTCTTACGCAAGAAAGCCCTATGGTTAAAATGGCCATCAGAGCTTTCTTGCGCAAGAGATCGTCTACACTGGCACAGATGCTCTGCAAAAGAGTTCTTGCACAAAATCATGCCAATGTAGACATAGCCTCTAATACCCTAAATGGGAAACAGTACATGTCTATTTGAAAAATGGTTTTGGAGGCTAAACTCCTGATGGTACATAGACTCAGACTCTTTAATCTTTTGCCTGAGATATAGATCAAGCCATGCTCAATTTGCAGTTTGCAAGCTGCATGTGGCTCTCCACGGCTCCCTCCCAGAGAGAACAGCTAATTCACAGCTCATCCTGGAGAAAGACCTCTACTTGATCCCAGCACAAGAGCTGAAGATACAAGAGATGTAAACAGCTAGGTGTGCTTACGCAACTAATGGTTTAAGCAAAATATTTTGGTTGTATTGAATATTTGAAAAAAGTATATTTATACTTGTATATTTAATCTGTGTGTCTACATATTTGGTGGAATGGTGCAGAGGGTAAACTAGTCATGGTGCTCTTTTGGTTCATGGTGGCTGAGAGAGGGGCTTCTCTCACATAACTGAGTACCACTGATATTGCTGTATCACTGGACACAATGTGCTCTTCTTCATTGACTCAGAGGGCAAAAGTGGTAATATTTCTTGTATTGGACCAACTTCTGTTGGTGAAAGAAGCTTTTAAATATACACAGAGCTCTCCAGACCTGGCAAAGGTAACAGGAAAGCCACAGCTAAATACAAGGTGAAATGTATGTATGTTAACG